TCCTCATCTTTAAAATCAGTATATTTGAAAGTTTTAAACTTTGTTAGTAGATGTGCAGAATGCTTGATACATAGTACATGTTCAGAAATTTTAGCTTTATTCACTCTATTGCTTAAGCAAACAAAAAGTTCAGTACAGGCACTCACATTCCAGTGTCGTTCTGTGGACTCCTGATGAACTGCACTTGTACTTAAAGCCAGGCGCTCCACTTTGAGAACCTGATCTCACCCCTTGTCTACTCAAGGATGTGCTCCAGCAGTTCTCTCTCTTCTGATCTGCATCACCGTGGCTCTCCTGCTGGATCATCCCCAGAGGCATAGAGACATCCTTGTATTTCTACCATCACACAAATAAAAGTCTTCACCCCCACTTCCTTGATAGCTACCACCCCATTTGCTYTCCCTTGAAGGAAACTCTTCAGAAGAGCTGTCTGTGCTCACTATTTCTAGTTACTCTTTTCTTATCTTTCTTAAACCCACTTCAGACTGGCCTTTTCTCATACTGCTTCAATAAAAATGTTCTTGTTGATGTCACCTGTAACCTCCATCTTGCTGGATCCAATATCTTCCCTCCCATTCCTTTCTGGGCTTTAACACTTCTGCCAGACCTCTGAAGATTGAAGCACTGTAAGATGCTTTGTTCTTTTACTTAGAGTCACTGCTCTAGTGATCTCACCCATTCTTTTGCTTAAAAATCTCATTTATATATCAAAGGCAATCATATTTATGTGTCTARGTGAAACCTTCCTCCTAAATCCAGATTGAAATGTCCTGATCTGGTATCATCACTGGAAGAACTCAAAGACACTTAGAAACTTACATACTCAAAACTTCTGACCTATTCCACAAACCTTCTTCACCCCTAGCTTGGGGGGGTGGTGTTATTAAGGATTGAACTGAGGGGTACTCACCCACTGAGCCACATCCCCAGGCCTRTTTTGTATTTGATTTAGACACAGGGTCTCACTGAATTGCCTAGTGCCTTGCATTTGCTGAGGCTGGCTTTGAACCCATGATCCTCCTGCCTCCGCCTCCCAATCCTCTGAGATTATAGGCATGCACCACCGCAACTGGCTGTCTTTGACTTTCTTTCAGATCACACTCTAGCTGTCAGGAAACCCTCCTGGCTCAGCCTCCAGAAGATGTCGGGATCTCACCATTTCCACTCAATACATTGCTACAGTTCTTTCTTGATTTGATTATAGCAGTAATTCTTAACTGGTTTCTCTCCTTTTTCTACGTCTTTTTTTTATCCTAAAGTATGGTTTTACTACAATAGTAAGAATGGTCTTCTACTTTATTTCGAAGTCTTCCTCTCCTTCCTTTGCTCAAAATCCTGTAAGAAATGCTGTTTCAATTGTAGTAGAAATGAAGTCTGATTAATAGACTGCAATACCCTCTATCCTCCCCATTCTCCCTCTGACATCATCCTCTGCTCCATGGTTTACTCTTGCTGACCTGTGAATAAAGAAGATTTCCTTAAATAGATCTTACAGACCTTGGCATCAGCTTTTCTCTCTGCCTGCAGTACTGTTCCCACAGGTATCTGTGTGGATCATCTTCCTAGCTCCATCCAGTCTTTAGTAAAATATTCCTTCTCATTTGAATACCCACCAATGCCTCTATTAAAAATTCCATGCTGTTTTCACACATACTGTAGTCTATAGAAGGAAAGAGATAAAGGCTAGCTCTAGGCTTTCTCCTTAGATTCAAGGATGCCTGGGGATTTGATCCTTCCTATAATCCTGCTTGCAACAAGAATTCAAGAAATTTATACAGTAAAGCTTTTCAATCCAAGAGAATCTAGCTTGGTACCAGAGCAAGCACCAAGATGTACTTTATTGTTGAGACTGGTCCTGGTGGTGGATAGCCACTGTGGAAAATGAAAGGTAGCTCATCACATGCCCCTGAAGGGCTACTTAACTAGCAAGATTTAAGCCAAAGGGGTGGTCCTGCAGACCTAACGATATCTGTCATTATCACCCATGCCTCCAGTGGGCAGTGATTAGTGGACATGAGAGATGGCTTGGAAGTCATGAAACATCTGTTCTGTTGGTAGAGTACATGCTGGTTTTGGGGAAGATAGCGTGGTTCAGTTCCAGACTCCCGAACTAAAGCAAATGTGGCAATAAAGTAAGTCATTTTACATTTTTTTTCCATTTCCCAGTTCATATAAAAGTTGTGATTTTACTGTACTTGCTATAGTTGAGATATGAGGTGTTTTCCAAAAGCTCATGTTTAAGACAATGCAAGAAAGTTTAGAGGTGAAATRATTGGCTTAGGACAGCCTTAACTAATCATTAATCTACTTGAATGGGTTAACCAGGTGGTAACTGTAGATGGGTATAGTGTGGCTGCAGGAGGTAGGTAACTAGGGGCTTGCCTTTGGAATATGTATTTTGTCCCTGTTGAGCAAAATGCCCTCTCTGCTTCCTGATTGCCATGTCCCAAGCTGCTTTCCTCCTCCATACCTTTCTGCCCTGATGTTCTGCCTCACATTGGGCCCAGACCTGTGGAGTCAACTGTCTATAAACTGAGACTTCTGAAACTGTGAGCCCCAAATAAACTTTTCTTAAAATTGTTCTCATCTGTTTTTTTTTTTTTTTTTTGGTCACAGCAGTGAAAAAGCTGACCAAAACAATATTGTAGACTATTAAAGTGTGCAAAACATCATTTCAAAGTAAACAATGTTCATACCTTAATTAAAAATACTTTATTGCTAAAAAGTGCAAATAATCATCTGAGCTGTTGGAAAAGTTAGTACCAATAGATTTGATCAATACAGGGTTGCCACAACCCTTCAAAATTTGTAAAAACCATAATATCTGCAAATACTGGGTGCAATGTTTGGTGTCTCATGAGTGTGACCTGAGTTCACTACTGCTAATAGATCAAAGTAGGCATTTTAATCCCAACCCCCTTTACCAGGCTCAGATTTTTTTTTTTTTTTTACATACCGTATAATCTAGATATCTATGTTTGTTCATGGTTTGTCTTCTCTTACTAGAATGCCTGGCACACACCAGTTGCTCCATAAAATTTGTTGAATGAATGAGTGAACAGATTTATTTTTTGATTTCCATTCAATGCTAGACATAAGACATGATAAAGACTAGTAATGGAATTTGCACCTCTGTGTTTCCTAGAAACTAGAATATGAGTATGATTAATAGTGAAATTGGCTAGCTTCAAATCCTTAGGGCGGTTTCCCAAGTCAAGTCAGGAAAGAGTGCCTTGAAGAAATATGTTTCAAGAGGAGTTACATCTTAGCAATGACAAGATGAATGGAAGTTAGAATTTAATAGGGGGACTTTGTTATTGGGAGAAATTTTATGTTAGGATTGTCCCCAAAATGAGGTCCCCTAAACAAATTATATGCACAATTTGATCTTTGTGGTCCAAGGGACATGGTACTGGGAGGAACATAGCCTCACAGTGCTCATTGTAACCTTAAATAAAACCAAGTAGAGTTACCGATAAAATAGAATACAACGRTAAAAGAATAAAAGGGTTTTAAATTTCTTTTTCTTTTTGTTCACATAGATAGCATTGTTGCATTGGAAATTTTAGTAAATCATCATCGTTTGTTCCAACATAATGATTCAGTAGTGTGCAGATATTAACTGAAAATAATTATTCAGCTCCTTTTAACATATGGCTAGCTACATCAATAAGAAAGATTTTTAGCCAGGAGCATCTGGGCTTTTGTGTAATTTCAAATGCCATAGATGAATGTTAGCTCATAAAAGCAATCACACATATTTTAAAATGTCTTCCCATCTCCATGCCGTTGCTCATGCTATTTATTTTTTTCCTGGAATGGTCATTTTTTTCTTTATTGATGTATGCAAACTCCTCCTTGCCCCCCCCCCTCCCCAAATCCAGGCTTTCCTGGCATTGCCTTCCTGCCGTGGGTTCTCCCCTTTTAGGTCAWTTGATTAATTGCTTTCTTCTCTGTGTTCCCAAAGCATTTATCACAGGGTGTGGAGGTTATGTATTTACCTGCCTCTGAGTTCCAAGACCATCTTCATCTTTGTTTCCCTAGTGCCTGGCACAGTCCCTGTTCTTGTCCCATTGATACATGTTCATTAAATGGTAATTGAATTAGAGAATTAGAATATTGTTACCACAGCCATTGATACATCCAGCAAGTATTTATTAAGGGCTTTTTATGTGCAAGGAACTATGTCATTTGTTTTAAAGAAATAAATAAGAGGCYCAAGTTCTTAAAACTGCTCGGTATAGTTTAAATAAGGAAAAAATAAATCACACGTAAAAGTGAATGTGATACATGGTAGAAAATGTTATTTTCACTGGGGTGTATATGTGTGTGCATACTTATGTGATTGCTTCCTGCCAGTTTTCAAAAAKATCTTCCTATTGGCTAAGGGAATATTTTCCCTTGTTAAATGACTCAAAAATCYGAATCCACACAATAATTCTTTTGCTGTCTCAAAAATTTGGTTGACTGTAGTAGATCTAAAAATACCCTCTTCCTCACTTTAGTTTGGTGTGCTATTTTAGACAATTGCATCAAAGCCCTGATCAGGGGTTATGCTTCTACTTGCCAAATACTGTACATTTAAAGTCAAAAGAGAAGGTTTCTTTCAGTGCCTTAAGGTATGAATTTTATACATTCCCTGGTTTTTAGAAGTCATCCTAAGTGATAAGTCCTTCACATGTTGCTACAAGTTCATTCCTAATTGCCATTAGGAAATTGGCTGTAGAGAGCTTTTGACAAATTAACAGTAATGTCATTGAAAGAGTAATTCAGATAAGATTTTAACTGGGAGGTTTGTTTGTTTGTTTTGCATTTTAGTTTGGTGAGAATAGTTTGAATGCTTAGCATTTAATTGCATTTATGCCAATAGCTTTTTAAACAAATCTATATAGTAGATTGGCCTTGTCCACATCAAGGCATAATATGTAAATAGTAAATAGTTTATATGATTACAGAGTTTTAACTGATATTCACCAAGAAATGTTTCTGTTTTTGTTTAGACTTGGATTATCACTTGCATTTATCTTCAACTGCTCCTGTTTAATCCTCTGGTCAAAACTAAAGGGATCTGTGGGAATCCTGTGACTGATAATGTAAAAGACATCACAAAATTGGTAAGTAAGACATAGGGTGTGCTTTTAATTATCTTTGTCTCGTGCTTGTCAATCAGAGATTTTGTTTTTCTTGTCTCAAATTTTATATTTTTCTAACAAGAAAAGGAATCATTGAGTTATTCTGAAGGTCTTCTAGAGAGCAGATAGGGAAATACTCAAGGAGGATTTGGTGGTTCAATTGGCCCTTGTATACCATAATGGTGATTTCTTTGCTAGTTTTGTCTCCTCAGTCAATGGCAGCAAAGGATCCTTGAGAGGTCACTATGTGCTGAAGTCCAGCCCCAGTTTGTCCATTATCTCTTGAGTGGGCTCCTCATTGTCTGTCTTTTCCATATGCCTTTCTGCTCTTCTCTAACAATAGATCTCTAACAATAGATCTCTCCTGTTCGGCATGAACACCCTGTCACATATGGGTGATGTTTCCTCCTCTTCAGTTGGACCTGGAGGAATGATGATTTATTGCCACATATGGAACAGAGTCCCTTCCCACTTTTGTCACACTAGAACTCTTCCCTCAGCAAGAGTCTTTGTGCACTGGTGCCCCTTGGGCACTGCCAGCTTCCTGCTTTGCTGCTTTTAAGACTCCAGCTAGAGAGAGCATAGCACATCTGGAGTGCATGCTTCCAACTCTCTTGATGGAGGGCATACTCATTTGGACTACAGTGTATGAGTTAAGATGAACAAGGTTTGAGAAGCATTTCTGTAAATTCCTGGTTCAAAATAGCCAGTTAGGGACCAGTCTGCTATTGACTAGAGAACATAGTTAGTGTTACAATAGGGAAGAAATGAGGATTGTTGTATGGAGAAAAGAAAGAAAGTATACATACTGAGATAATAGTCTACAAAATAGAGGGGGCTTTGTTTATCCTTCTTGCTTTCGATATACATTCCTGGCTTATGTGTTTTATTTAGGGTTTATACTAAAACTTATAAACAGAAGTCTGACTTGCTTAGCCTTAATTCAGAATTAGAAAAATAACACACACACACACACACACACACACACACACACATAATATCTAGGATGCCCAGACTGTCTAGGCTTAAAAGCATTCTTTGTCTAGCATGCATGTAGCCCTAGGTTCAATCCCCAGGACTACAAAATATATAGATAGATACCTAGATGTGTTGTTTCATGCAGCTGCTGAAGATGTATCCATATGTTTACTTGATGGACTGGCAAGCAAAACAATATAACTTTTGCCTACTATATATGCAGCTAGGTATTAAGGACAGGAATGAGGGAAAGTGGGGTTTTTTGTTTGTTTGGAGATCAGTTTGTATATTTGTTCATTTTGTACTGGGGATTGAATTTTGTACTGGGGATTGAACCCGGGGACATTTTACCACTGAACTACATCTTCAGTCCTTTTATATTTATTTTTTATTTTGACATGGGATGTCACTAAGTTACACTAGTTTGCCTCAAACTCATGATTTTTCTGCCTCAGCCTCCCAAGTTACCAAGATTATAGTAGTACACCATCATGCCTAGCAAGGGGAAAGTGAGTTTTAAAACCGTAGATGATGATCCTCTCCTCTAAGTTTCTTGTTAGTTTATTACCCAAGAAACAATACTAAACAGACAATATGTATTTATATTCTAAATTTTTTGTCTGTTAGAAGGTGATCGTTGAATGCTTGGGTGAATGTGGATGTGATGGACTCCACCTTGAGCATCAATGGCATCTGAGTGCTTATTAAACTTACAGGCAGCTGGGCACAGTGGCACATGCCTGTAATCCCAGTGGCTTGGGAGGCTGAGGCAGGAGAATCATGAGTTCAAAGCCAGCTTTAGCAACAGCAAGGTGCTAAGCAACTCAGTGAGACCCTGTCTCTAAATAAAATATAAAATAGGGCTGGGGAAGTGCTCAGTGGTTGAGTGCCCCTGAGTTTAATTCCTGGTTACCCCTGCCAAAAAAAAAAAAAAAAAAAAATTACAGGTACCTAGGCCCTACTCCAAGGAACTGAAACTGAGTCAACAAGTCTAGGAAAGATTTCAGGCATCTACATTTTTCATGACTTTTTGAAAGGAGATTTAAGAAGCATTGCTATAGATGGTCTATTCTGTCAAGTTTAGAGAACAAAATGCATCTCAACCCTAAATTAACTTGAGTTGGTATTATGGCCAGTTACTCCTGTATTGCATAGATTCATAAGAATGTCAGGGTAATGCAAAACTCCAAAGTATGCCTAAAGTAGGTCACTGGGAAATTGCAACTTTTGTGGAGCAGCCTGTATAACCTTGGAACTGAGAATGAGCTGAGGAGACTTGCTCTGTCCTAAGGAGCAAATTTCATGAATTTAGGGTCCAGTGAGGCATAGGTGAAGATGATGATGTATCTCACCACAGACTGAACATATCTGGGACTAACATGATACTTAAGAAAAATTGCTGTCAGGCATTATTATTTTCAAAGTATTTCAGGAATATGACTTAATAAGCACTACTTCCTATGAATGTCAAACTGATGTTTTCAGGTAGCATAGGTAGGTTTTACAAGCATCTTGCAAGATTTTCTATTCTTGTCTTTAACCATCTGCTTATTATCAACCTGTTACCAATCGGCTGATAAAATAAGTAATGGCAAGAAACATTCATAAGATGAGAAAGGAGTGCCCATAAAGGGATCTTAATTAACACTGACAGTAAACTATAATATTCCTTACTCCAAGGGCAAATGTCAAATCAATAAGATTTAAAAAAAAAATAAAGATGGGGATTTCCTCCTAGCAGTTGACTCAGGGGAAAACAATTTTAAGAGTTTCTCTAGTAAAAAATATTATGTTTTCTTTGTGCAATATTTTAAAATAAGTCACTTGAAAATAAGTCAAGTTAATAAAAAATAGGGTTCAGAAGAACACTTGTCATTGACTAAAGACCTACACAATTCACAGCCTGTGTTTTGTAGAGGAGGATGTAGAAAAGTATAAAAAAAAAAATCCTTTGAGCTCAGAGCACTGGGAGATAAGCCTTCTCAATAAAATATGTTTAATATGTTGATCACATGTTCTCTTTGTGCCTCTGTTTCCTTGTCAGTTATGATAGAGAGATTAATAATACTTAATCTTATTAGAGTAATTGTGAGAATTAAGTCAGAAGAACAGTGGCTGAAACATAGTTAAGTGCCCTCCAAATCTTAGCTATTCACAATGGTAGTAATAGTGGTGGTATTTGTAAGATCACAGGATATTGGATCTGGAAGCCAATTTAGAGATAATCTAAACAATCTTCTTTATAAAGAAAGAAAGAAACTGAGACCCAAGGGTGGTGAAACCCAGCTCCTGGTCCCATTTCCAGTGCTGTCTGCAGGAAGAGTAGTTTTCAAACTGGCCACTAGAGCCATTCACCTTTTGTTTATGTATGTCAGTTTCCAAATAAGACTTGGTATGAAAAAAGATTCAAGTTTAAGAATGCATGACAGTTCCTCTTTAACCAGAGTTAGTCAGATATCACTCAAGAATCATCCARTCACAGTCTCTTAGGTACTTATTTAAATACAGCTACAAGGACACTACTGCAGAAATACTGAATGTCACCTTGTGAAGACGGGCTGTAGGAACTTTGATGCTTCCAACGAGTACCCCACAAGACAATAATTTGCTCAGAAGTTAGGGCTCCCATCCTAACTCATTCATTTTACTAATTCAAACAACAACATGCATGACTGTTGAGGTATGTGGCCCCTGTCCTAGCATTTCTCTGAMGAATGGAAGGGCAAAGCATCTTGATGAAGTCAGGAATAGCAGGTTATTTGAATACTGCCTCTGCWGGATTACCTGACTGTCAGACTTCAGAAAGACGACTGACCCTCTCTAAGATTCAGTTTCCTGAGTTTTAAAATTAGGAACATGGACATGATCAATAATTCTTAATCTAGGTCTTGTAAACTTCATTATGAGGAAAGAGAGTGTCCCTTTCATCAAATCTCAGAGAAGTCCGGGACTGCAGAGAAGAGAAAAACTACCAAATTAGAGAACGCTCAGYTTTAAATAATCTCATCCTGTAATGGTATTTCTTCATAATGGTGTACTTCTTGGCATAGTTCAGTAATGCCTGGACTGAAGGAGGTTGTACAGAATAAGAGGAATTTGCTCTGCAGGCATAACCTTGGTACATTTTATTTGTGGGAAAGCTTCCAGTAATGTTTTTCCTTGTGCTTATAGTAATTTCTTCAACTGTGCTCATTTCTTTGCATTCTCTACCAGTTCTGCCCTTGAATKAGGTGACAACTTGTAGTATACCCCACAAACCTTAAGTTTGTTTGCTTGGGGTGATTCTCATGTCATTGAAGCACATGATTTATGGCTTTACATTTTTTTTTTAATTTCTTCTTGGACACTTTGTACTGCCCCTACAGTCCCCATGGTTTTTATTTGAAATCCTTCTGGCATGTTTACTTAGCATAATAGTTCATCTATTTACAGAACATTTTGCTTTGTTTCTGAAATATGTTGCAAGACTTGTTTTAAATGGCAAACTCAGACCAACCTAAGGAAAGAGTCAAGTATCTGGGAAGAGGGTGAATCAAATGTTAAAAAGTGGTGTCTATGTATAGTTAGGGTACAGCTTTTAATACTTGTCAGTGTTCATGTAGAGAGGAATCCAAATATTGAAATAGTTGAAATTAGTTTTCCCTACTCTTTCTTTTGYTTGTGATGTTTTTTCTTCATTTGGGGGGAATTTAATTAAATGTGGCTTTCTTTTAAAAAAATTGTCTTTAAATATCTGTCGAATGATGTATTTGTCTTTCTCAAAATGTTCTTAAAAGTAGGTTGCTGTTCCATCACCATATTATAAAGGTGAAGTTGAATTACTGTCTTCAAGGTCAGCCTACAAGTCAGTAGCCTAGAATTGGAACAAAAGAGCCCATAGTTTTCCTGGTCTTGTGGTAGACTCTTATTTTAAGTTGATTATATCAGTACATGACTTTGGAGATTAACATAATGAGAAGTGATAATATATCCTCAGATAGCCAATTTTAACACTTTGGACTATT